CACAGCTTCTCCATGTCAATCATGTCCACCAGAGAACCCGCTTTTGAAATTCATATTCACCTAAGTCGCTGTAACTCAAGGCAGTACAATCGTTTCCCGTTGATCTTCTCTTCAGTTTATGTTCGGGAATCTTGCAGCAAGGCCTGTCACACACACACAATGCTTGCCAACCTCCCTCATCACCCCCCCCTTTTCCAGTAAATAGCTCCTGTTTCAGAGTTGGCATCATACCCTGGAACAAAGGTGGGTATTTCGGTATAGGACGAGTCATACCGGGATAAACCACCCAGCTGGTGCGAAGCGGATCTGACGACTTGCCACATGGAGAGTGTCGTTGGTTTCCGGGTTCCTTTTCAGCTTGGGTCCAATCCCAAAAAATCGACACTCACATGACATGGCTGGTTCCTTTTATTTTCCCCTTGGAACCCACCAACCCGAAGAGCGCTCTCCCAAAAAATCGGAACCACACCCATGCGCCCGTTTCAGAGTTCACGTCCGCGCCTGGTTGTTCAGCCAGGACTTCCGCGAGAAGCTCTCACCCATCTGGGCCAAACGGTGAGGACCCCCAGCCCATATCTGTCTCGAGGCCGTGCCCTAGATGCCCTCGAGGTGTCCTTTTGCCTTCCCATGAAATGCTAAAGCGGTCCACAGCTTCTCAAGACGAAGCTCAGACATGTTGATACACGAGGATTCTAGGATCTCTTCATTGCCTACAGTGGAAAGCAAACCCGGATCTGGGTGCAGAAGTGACGTGCTAGGCCGTCTCTGTTTCGAATGGGCGACCAAACGAAAAGGATACTGGGGTCCATATCTTATTTCAGGGCGAGGACTGTATTGGGAGGAATGTATTGGCAAACCCTCTCTAGGTTCTCCAGTAGAGAGGTTAAAATAAGGGTACCCGATTTTTTTCTGTAGTCCATTTTAGTAGGGGAACCCTCCTCCAAGAAAGGGTAAAGGGCACTACTGGGGGACCTAGCTCTTTAGATGCGGAAAGACTTGGGAAGGACACCCTATGATGCAATGGACACGTCTGAAAACATGCGAATGGGCGAAGAGGTGGCTGTCAAAGCAAACCTGTCAAGCTGAAGTCCTGAGATCTGGCAATTCATTTCAGAAGTTGCGTGGCGGGGTTTACTAAAGTCTTGGCACGACTCCTGCACTCATCTGGACTCGGCCTTGTGGAATGCCCATATAAACCGACTGGCACGGCCCCCCTGTTCCTATACTTGGCATGAGTGCACGCTGGGCACTGAATCTCTTGAGCCGGACCTGCTCAGGTTCTCTATATTTCCATCGCCACCACCGACAGGACATGTACATTTCCTGGGCAGGCAAAAGGTGATGGTCAAACTTTTACCCTCCCACCAAGCAATATGGAATCTGGCAGGGGGTCAAGATTTGGGACCCAAACTGCAATGCAATACTCCCCTTAACAAGAGAATGGTCTTCCATCACCCCACCCCTCTGTCAGGTTCCATGGTGGGAGGGTACCCCAACAGGGAAATAGCTGACTCCTGTCTGCAAGCGCTCCCGTTTTTCCTCGAGCCACTCGACTGAGGCGACCTGCCAGCCAGCTTCCCCCTTCAGGGGAGTTGACCGGCGCCAACTTGTACGGATCTGTCTCAAAAACAGGGAAGCCTCTGTTCGGCCTTAGTGAAACCACAAGGAAACCAATCATTTATGGGACCCTTTGGTGGACATGGTGATTCATGTCCACCAACCACCTCACAAGTGGTTCCATATCTAGATTCATAGCCATGTATTGTTTGAACCTTTTCTGCGCTCCACTGTTGAGACACACCGACGTGTCGTCCCGTGCCACCGAGCGCCGCTGCGAGGCGGAGGGCCGGAGGGACCTTTCGTTTGGGGTCTTCTCTTTACAGAGAAGGACATTGACCCAGAAATGGAGTTCTAGGTACTCTCCTCCCAACTCTATGTTTAAACGAGTGGACAATTTAGGATGCATCTCAATCCATGCAAAAAGAAAGGCTCACCAGCACAAGTAGATAGGCAAACCCCAAAGCACGCACACAAACTAAATTGAGCACATACACTGGTCCTTTACTCGAGAGAGGCCCTGCCATATGTTCAAAACATAGATACTCTTTATTTGAGGTTCCGTCAGGATCAATCCATTGCTGGCCCAACCAGCTACACCGTGGGTCCTTTTGAAAGACGCCATGAGCCAGTGCCAAGCTGCCAAGCCATGCGCGGGTGGACATCTTGCCTCTGGCTTTCGTGTCGAATCACTTCCTGGCAGCTCTCACGACTGGAAACGGGTCCCGTGCCCCTTCTGATGGGGCAATCCTGCAGGGAAACCAACAGGAAAACCACCATTTTGGGGATTGCCCCCTACACTTTGATGTGGCAGTGACCCGTAGAATGTAAAACCAAGGCAAAATGCACAAGATGCCGGGTGAAAGAAAATATCAGTTGGTCAACGACGATCCAGTTTCGAGCTCATGCAAGCAAGCTACGAGGGTCAAGCCGATGACGGCAGCTACGTGAGTGCCAACATCCTCGGCTGCAGGAACGTCAGCCTATAGGTGACTTTCTGGAGAAATGATGGGTCACAGTAAATGAATAAAACAAAATTTCATTGAAAACAGTGGGATCTATCTCAATTCAACCAACATGACCCGAAACAAACAACACTTATCCCTGTCAGTGTCTTTTCTTTGGCAGGGGGCTTTCGGCAGGGGATGGGCCACATGCTTCCGTTCGCGGGAAGAACATATGCGCGACAAAAGCGGATATATGCAGTTCCTGCGAAAGGAATCTTATGGATCCAGGGGATTAGAAGATTAGACCTCGAAGGGATTGTAAACAGTTTACAATCCCTTCATGTTCCAATCTTCTAATCGCCTACCTTCAGGATCCATAAGATTCCTTGCGCGGTAGATCCTTCGTGCGCACACTCTCCACATATTTTGGCTTGTGCATGTTAGAATGGCCAAGATGCAGCACGTTCTGGGAGCCATTCGCGGAGTTTGATCGCTTTGCCCCTTTGGCGCTATGCGGCATTCCCCCGACAAAACCACAAGGAGACAAAACCCCCCTAACCAATCAGAACCCATCAGCGGTAAGCCAGGGATGCTTCAAAGATGTGGGTGACACAAAAAGAGATCGCGGCACCCCGGGCACAAGGGTTGAAGAGTGGACGGAAAAAAAGAACCGCAGAATGCGACACCGATGTTCAACCCTTGTAGGGATGGGTGGTTTTGTGTTGGTCTCCGTTTCAGACTGCCCGCCCGTTTGGGTCCAGACAATCAAAACAAAAACATAAAAACAACCGAGCAAAAGCCGGCATAGATAGATAGATAGATAGATATATAGATAAGTAGATGGATAGATAGATAGATACATAGATAGACAGATAGATGAGTGGATAGATACGTAGCTAGATAGATAGCCAGGTTGACATAGAAGGATAGGTAGAAAGAGAAAGAACGATAACAAGACAAACAACGGTGGGAAAGAAAGAACGAAAGAAAGAAAGAAAGAAAGAAAGAAAGAAAGAAAGAGGGAAAGCAAAGAACACGTAAAGAAATAAAGAGGAAATAACAATAACAGAAAGAGACCCCAATAGAACAATAAACAAATAAAGATATAATTAAAGAGGGAATGAAGGAAGCAAGACAAAACAGAAATAAATACACACAATAAAACAACAACAACAGAAATAAATAAATAAATCAAACAAGAAAGGAAGAAAGAAGGAAGGAACGACACAAGCAAATAATTCGAACAATAAATAAACAGAGAAGAAAAAGGAAGGAAACACATAAAGAAAAGACAGAACAAACAAGAGATAAACCTAACAACAAAAAGCAAGCTAGAAAGACTCAACGAAAGGCAACAAACCGCAAGAAAAGAACACAAAGATACAAAACATTATAGTTTTGACATTGTTGAAAGTTCCGCTTACCAGCTTCGACGGCTCTACTGGTAATACTCAAAAGTGGTTTCCTTGCGCTGGGCATCTGTAAGGGCCTAAATCATTTGAAAGGAATAGGGTTTCAAAACCAAATTTAGTCATAATCCTACGAGTATAGTATTGGTTCCCTAAGCATCATTGTCCCGACCTCCATTGGAAGGCCTACCTCAAACAGTTTGTCTTTTCGCCAAGATGCTTGGGGAGTGGTCTGTAAGGGTCTAAGCTACACCAATTTGACAAGCTTGATGGCATTCTTTCCACCTTTAAAAAAAATAGTTATCCTTGATTAAGTTATAACAAACATGTTTGAACCTAAAGAGGCCGTCCTTATTCAAGCCATAAGTATGATGATTGGGACCAAAACCCCAAAACAAATGGGCGTGGCTCCACAAATGGGGTCCAAAATGGCTTGCCCTGGTAAACAGAAAGGTACACTAAAACCTGCGTAACCCCAGAAGTTTCATTTTGAGCCACAGCCAAAATGGCCCTCACCTCGTTTCCGCCCGTCCGAGAGGCGCCAAGGTCAGGGTCCACGCGCTCCTCACCGCCCAGTTGGCACCTCAGACGGCGAACGAAATCGAACGACCCATTTCCCGTTTTGGGGCTTCCTTTTTGGACGACTCGTTTGGGTTGCTGGGTTGCTGGAAGACCCCTTTTTGGAAGACTCCGTTTGGATTACTCCTTTTTGGAAGTCTCCTTCTTGGCAGACTCCTTTTCCGAAGAACTTGTTAATGTCCCATCCCCTTTTCGGCTTTCGTTTTGAAACGAATTGCCCCGAAAAGGTAGTTTATCGGAAGAACCTAGATAGCCAAGTTGCTGCTTTTTTTGGTCACTGTTGCTGGCTTTTTGGGGTGAAGTGCATGGACAAAAACAGCCACTGGCGATCCAGGAATGGTGGCTTCCCATCCCCTTTTCAGCTTTCGTTTTGAAACGAAACGCCGAAAAGGCGGTTTAGCGGCCAACCCAAAGTGAGTGTCTTGCACCAAACAACCACCCTCAACCAAAGAAGGAGTCCCTGTCACTGGAGCAAACCCACCCGCGAAATGAGTTCATGGTGGAACAATTGCGCAACTGGTCGGCTTCTGCCTGTGTTTTGGTGACACCAACGAATGCCATGATAAATGCGCTTGTATTTTACAATCAATGACCATTTGGGCGTGATTCGTTTGGAGGCTGCCATCTAGAGTTGCTATAAGGGAAACGCATCAAAGAAAAAACAGACATGTGGTCCACCCATGTCTCAACACACCGAGGTGGAAGAAATGGTTCAAGAGCCAATAGCAAAATGGCAAGCCAGCAACTTTCCAGCGGACCACACCTCTCCCTTCGAGTTGGTCAGTCGTGGTTGCAACCAACTGGGCTTGATTTCTCTTGTGGACACGTCCTTCAATCGCTGCAAGTATGCGAGAACCCCCCGGTCCAAGGCCTGCAGTGCCATGTTATTAAACGCCAAACCAACGGAAAACCATATGCCCAAGGAGTATCGCCCAAGCCTCCCGAAACCCTGTCGGGACAAGGCCACCCCGAACCTAGGCAGATTGGCCCACTGAAAAGCAAATTCCAGGCCGATCGGCACCAGAGATGGACAAAACCTGCATACTGGGGTGACCCACCCATCACCTTGTGCGAAGTTGTCCATCCACAAAAAGCAACCGGTTCCCATGACCAAAAGTAGACTATGGGAAAGCTGTCAAGAAGCAACAACTCACAGAATCGGCGTTCAAACCCAGTGGAAAGCCAAAAGCTGTATGTCATTGATAGTCAAATGTCAGGATTGAGCTGGATCCAAGCAGCTGTAAATGCGTCGGGCCGTCACTCCGTTGTTGTGATTTGTTTTGTCTGGCTTGCTTGGCTCTGGTTGGTTGTTGTCCACAGATGGTAGTTCGAACCCACTGCCAGGGACCATGAGATGCTCCTCGAGTGAGCAGCGAGGTCCCTTCAGTTTCCCTTTAAACAACACCACCCACATATACAACCAAGAACCATACTACATATGAATATGAACACCTGATAGTACTATTACCACTAAACTCCCTCAAAAGTGTAGAACCATCCATCCCTCCCCTACAACTGTCACAAACACCCCATATTTTTCGACCATCCGTACCCAAGCTTGCCAAAACCCCAAGCTTCCCAAGCTTTCCGAGGTGTTTCGGCCACGACAAGGCGCTTGGCGCGGCGTTGGGGCTGGCGATTTCGGTCACCTGCAGGCCGTTGGGGGAGACCTTGTCCGTGAGGTCGGCCCGGCAGCTTGGCAGCTGAGCCGCCCTCGAACTGGCGTGCGACTCCCTTAGACCTTCGGGAGAAACTTACCAATTGGTCCAAGTAATTCTGCAAAACTGGCTGAAACACGGCGATGTTTGTTGATTTGTTTGGGACACCTGGAGGAAAAGGGGCCATAGTAAGACATCTGAAAAACTGAACTCACATCTGGCGTGGAGTGGCCCAAAAAGCTGGAACCTCTTGCTTGCCACAATGGTCCTCCAACAAAAGCATGAGTCCAAGAACCAAGAACTGAGGGAAGGGTGGTTTAAAAAGGAAAGCCACCGAGACCCAGAGGTTTGTGAGAACCCTTCAAAATGTTAACTTCAAGGGACTGAGGAAAATGGAAGAAATCAAGGGACATGGAAGGGACATGGAAGGGACGTGGAAATGAGGAACCCTTTTCCAACCAAGCCTCTTGACCTCCATTTTACCCGTGGGTTCATCCCAAAGCACATGTTGGTGGTTGGAAAAAAGGGGGTTGCCGAGGAAATGATTTGGAACCCAGGACGGCTAGGGTTGGAATGGTCGGAGCCAGGTCCACAAAGCGATCAGAAAAGTCGCAGGGCTCGGACTCCCCTCATGGTGTAGTCGTTTTATGCCCTCCTCACTTGCTCACCCCAGAAAAAAAACAAAATGTTGCCTGAGTTTCCCTAGGATTGACCATCTGTGAGGGGCAAAGGCACATGTGAAGAATGAAAACTGGGGGAGTGGATTTAGGTGAGCTGAATTGAGCTGACGTGTAAGTTGTGGTTCAACATGTGGAGGAATGTACCCACCCTCATGGTAGGAGAGGTCTCATTCTGATGACCTCAGCTAGTCAGTTTGCAGTAACCCACGTTCTTTGGTTTTCTGGATCGGTGCATAGATGTGCGGAGTGGTGCTTGAACAAGTTGGACCAGTGGCGTTGGTTTCGAGGATTAACCCCTAAATGCAAGGCAGAACATGGAAGAGCTTAACCTTTTGACCCCCTTTTGGGAAGAAGTAGAGGAACGCCGTTTCGATGGATTCAGGACATTGAAACAATCATTTCAAATCTGGAATTCTCTACGTACCCTTTGCCGGCTGAACTGGCAGTCACAAATGAGACACTTGGATGGAGGCATAATGGGAGCCTGAGCTGTGAGTATAGAAACCCTTTTCTGGGATCCTTCGATCCCCAAAAAACAAACAAATAATATTCACAACAAACATTCTGGGCCAACATCCTCTAGGCATGCGTTCCTCACGCAGTTTGAACTCACCACTAGCAACTGGGGTCAAAATCACACGGACTCTTCTACCCGTAGCTTCCCCAAGTCCGAACACTCAACGAGGTCTGTCAGAAAACAACTACCAGAATCAAAGCCAACTTTTTAGATCATCTCCGTTTGGCCTTTGGTGTTGTTTTCGTGGACCGTTTTGAGGTCTCAATTGAACATGCCGTCGCCCATAACAAGGGTGCTCCGCCCTCTCTAGAAAAGCAGCTTTGCCTTTATCAAGGCCGCCCAAACCGGCCCAACATGCGACAAAATTGGCTCCCCACAGGACTCGACAACCCGCTTTTGGCTCCCAACACATTGCGCAAAGAAGCCCAGGCAAACCACGAAAACGGCGGGTCACCGGCCCAGGTTCCGTTTGGTTTTGAACGGCTGGTTCGCTTGCCCCCCCTTCCCTCGCCTGCACTGGTTCTGCTTGGGGCAGGGGTTGACCTGGCGTGGTGGTTGCGATTCAACTCCGAGAGTCTGCCCATGGCTTAACAACCTCCTGTTAGCTTCCCTGAACAAAAAGCCTGGTTCTCTCACAGACTAATCCAAAGGACAAAAGGTGGCCTCCTTTTGGGGCCTTGACCCAAATATAACTGTCATGGGAAAACCAACAGGTCGGATCAATGCGCTTGGGGTTAGCGCGAGTTGTGACCTGCTGGGTCGGTCGATTTGAATTACCCTTGCATGCAACATGGCTGAAACATATTTTTTTTGGCAGCCTCCTATGTCTCAGCAACCTTGGAACCATATCCTTGTTTACAACCTCCTTTTGGCCTTTGCATCCCACGGCTTCCATGCAACTTGGATGCTTCATGTATAACACCAACCCTTTACGCGCGGCTTCCCCTTTAAAGGGCGCCGGAAAACCCCGGTGGCAACCCAAGAAACCCGGCCACCCGCTCCCCGCTCGCTCCCCGCGCTTCGCCTGTGGGCAGACGCCGCAGGACCGGCGGCACTTCTGCAGCACCGCCGACTGCCCCGCGGCGCTGTAGCCCCAGTCCGCCGCGGCGCGCCGGCAGTCGTCCCCCACCTCGAGTCGAGAACGAGGCGCCGGGACTGTGCAGCGCACGGCGCGGAAAAAGAAAAACCGCCCGGCCGGGGAAGGCTGAGGGAAGTTCTGGAGCTGTTGGAATGGTTAGCTTTGATGCGGAAAGTAGGGGGTGTCGGTTGATTTGGCTTCTTTTCAAGCCAAGAAGAACAAACAACACCATGGGCCGATTTTTCGGTGAGGTTCAACTGGTAATGCTCGCTTGCTTGGAAATCTGGTGCATGCATTCTTCGAGAGAGCAGGCTCGTTTGGTTCTAGCACTCCGGAAGTTCTTGCTAAACTTCCTTTGCCTCTGGCTTTCTGTCCACCATGTTGGAAGGTGTTCCCCACTAAAAGTCCTCTCGCTTTGTTCACACTTCCCGGAAGGGGGTGAGAGCCCCTAAAGGACGCCAAACAAAGAGTCACCGGTCCACAGGTCCAGCAGTTCAGATCCCTGGGGCTGGGGCCCAGGTGTCGCAGAAGTAGCCCAACTCGTCGAGCCAGTTGGTATCATCTTGGCACGCCTCGGCTTTGATCTCAGTTTCTCACTTCAGTGGATTGCCAAAAACAAAGTGATTAAACTGTTGATTTTCACTCTATAAAATGGTTTCCCAATAAAAGTTTAAAACCCAGGAACTTAGGAAGTGAGCTTTCGTCTGCGGAGCGGCACCGTAAAGTGCAGAAGGCTCGAGACGAAAACACCCAAGGACTTTCTGGTGGGCTCCCCTTAAGGGGAGTGAAGGCACGCCCAATATTGAAAGTGTCTCCTGACATGGCATGCTGGTGAGCAACTTCATTTCCTAATGCAATTTTGGAAAGCGCTCATCCACTTTCTTGCCGCAGTGGACACTCACCCTTGCACATGCAATCAAGGTCTCGGCCAGCACTTTGGCCCGGGATGCGCTCCTCTGATCTTGGAACAAAAGGGCTCACTGAAGCCACTTGGCAAAGGGGTCCCAACACCTCTCGGCGTTTCTCGACCAAAACGGCCATGAAACTCTGATGCAAACCTCACTATAATCCCCATTGAAACAATCAACCGAAGTATAGAACCCTAGAACCTCTACTTGAAGTGCCTAACAATGTTTGGTCCATCTAGAACCTCTACTTGAACTGCCTAACAGTGTTTGGTCTAATGCTCAATTGGTCTATCAGATTCCAAATTTATGACCATCTCCGAGACGGATTTCCATCCCACGCTTGTTGTGTTCTTATTGCCTTTAACTTGAACACCACCCTCAAGCCCGATAAGCTTCCCATGCTTGCGGGCCCCGCACACAGTCTACCAATCTAATGAACAAGCCCGAAACCAGTGTCCGTCTTAAGACAGCGACCTCGTCCCCATCGATCACTGTCATTGGCCGCGGGGGGAGCGACTCAAACCCCTCGGAAGAAAACACGACTACTCGCCAACACAACGCCCGTGAAGGGCCGGTGCTGCCAGCTCTCGGATTGCGCCGCAGTCTGAAAGAGGATGCCAAGAAGGAAAACACGAATTGTGACAACCCGGAGGCACGGGTGCCACAGCTCGCACAAAGGTTTCTGTGGTTGAAGAATACTTGGGTGTGTCCCAAAAACGAAGCTCGACATGGGGTTATCCAAAAGAGGTTCCCCGTTCACCTCAAAATGGGTACCTCAAAGCAAGACTGGCCAATGATTGAGCCCTTCGGAGCAACGTGTTTGGGGTGTCTTAGGACACGTTTGGGTGATGGCAATGCAGCTTTCGTGTTTTCCCTTTGGGAAAGGTCGCAAAGAACACCCATCCCTGGTGTGGGTGTCCCTGTTTGAGGCCAGGATGCTGGATCTGCGCAGGGGCAGGTGGCGGAAGTGTCCATGTTGATGCACACGGACTCCTCCGAAGTCCGATCCATAACCCAAAGCAGGACAAAGTAGGGGTTCGAGTGGCAAGGGTACCAACTTCAAACACACTCACTCACAAACACACTCTCACACCCTAAAACTGGGGGGGGGGGACCAACGATTCAAGGGCTATCGAACAGAGGTCATCCTTGAAGCCAACACACACACACACACACATGTTCTACAGACCATAGCAGACATGATCTCAAGATTGAGACTCAAGAATACGTGCCCTAAACAAGTGGACGCAGAAAGCCGGGCATTCCAACACACACAGTCGCGATGTTGCCAGCGACATGTGCGATGCATGCCGTCTGCTTTGCGACTTCAGCTTGCCACATGGAATTCAACTCTGAGACTCCTTCTGGACACTTAAAAAAACCCAAATGGCAGTCAGATCCGTGCGACAAACTGAGGGGCACCTGCTATTTGGTTCCTGAAGGCCCAGCCACTCTGCGGTCGATTCTCATGCCTGATCTAGAGATCCCGGGACACAGACCGCCGAAGCGAAGGAAAGCTTAGCGAAGGGGAGGAGAGAGGCTTCAGGAAATGCTACTTTTGTCGATGCATACGTGCGCCATGCTTTAGGAACCGCTGTGGTGCATGTATGCTCTCGAGGTTCACGAGCCTCCTAACCAACTAAGCAAACTTCTGATTTTGGCCAATGCGCGCATGTATGCTCCAGCTTCCAGATCCACCCCGTTGAGGCTTGGTTAAGGTTGGAGTGTTGGCTCAGAGTTGGTTGAGGGTTTGGAGTTCGCTGAGCGATGTTTTCGGCTCGGGTTAGCCTCGTTTTCGACATGCTGGGAGATGCGTGGGCATGCCGACTGCAAGACACCAATATAAGGAAACCAAAGGATGGATTTTGAACCCCACATCCCTGAACAAGCTCTCGCCTCACTCGCCCGGAACCTGCCCCAGTCCCAGCTCGCTCGCCCAACTTTCTGCCGGGAAATTCTTGCGGCACGCGTGGTTACCTGCGGAACGCAGGCGCTCGCCGGGCTCAGCGGTCCGCTCGGTTTGACGAATGCGGAATTTCCCCACATGTGGGAAGGTCCAAGATCTGGGTGAGACTGCCGAGCCGAGCATCTCCGGGAGCTACTCTTCACCCACATTACCACATGTACTAAAACAACATGAGCCAGTTGCGCTTCTCATGGTCGGGCACCTCTGTGCTTGAGAACCCTGATATGTTTGTTCTGGCAACACACAAATGAGGATTCTTCAGATGCAATCTCAGCGAGAGTGCCAGCGGACAAGTGTTGCATTCTGAGCCTGATCGAGACTTCGTCCAAGAAATATACTAAGCACTTCAAGGCTGACTCTCAGGCTGATAGGTACAGCCTCGAGAGGCTTGCTGTGCGATTAAAGCCACATGACCTGACTCGTGCCCGCGGCATCTGCTCTGGCTTCCATCTTGTTGCGTGTTACTTTCTGCATCTTCTTCTGACCAGGCGCTTGGGTGCAGAAATGACACCGGCTGCCTTCCTGGCATCCATCTGTGTGGAAAAAGCAGGGCAAGCACCTGCCGGAGTGCAGATATAGCATGGTGAAGCGGGGCAATGGGACCTCCTCTGCGAGCGGAACCTGGAAGCCGCCATCTTCTCCCATGGCTCGTGCCCGCCGGGCTCTTTATGTCGAGGCGATCATAAAGAACATGGACTGGAGCCCCGGGCAGCGTACATCGTGCATTTCGGATTCCCTCTTCACTCAGACTCCAAACAGATACCAACAGCCCATCACTCATGAGGCCTGCCATGCCAAATAAATTCTGTGAGCAGGGAGCATGAAGCTGTATCATTGAAAACGTTCTCTGCAAGGGTTGGGTCGACCGCCTGTTCAAGCATGTCTGCACCTCTGTCAGCGAGATGTCTCGCAACAGGGCGTCCACTGTCCATTTGCTTGAACATGTTTCAAAGGCATCACCACCAGATCCCCGGACCATACTCCTTGTCGTAACCCCCAAAGAAGGAGTCATAAAAGTGTAAATGAGTGGTCAACAAGCCCCAAGTATATATGAGACTGAAGAGCCATATGTTTGCTCTGGGGTATGGTCTAGGGCTCAGTGGGGTGACTCCCGAATCGGGAGCCAGGCCTACAGCAAGCTGTACCCAGCAATTCCACGGGTCACAAAAGCGCTGTTCGAAATGGAGGGTTGGCCAATCCTAATCCAGAATCCCTATAGGAAAGCCACTACAAAGGGGACCCCTTGCGTAACCCCAGGCAAGGATTAAGGATTACCTTTGAACAGCCCAAAAAAGGATCCATAACAGGCCTCCCTGGATTTTCACCGTGGGTCAACACCAATGGTACCAGTTTGGGGTAGGTGCACCACCCATTTAAGTCTATTTTAGTGGGGATTGGGATGTTCACTGGGGTTCGGGGCTTTGACCCATAGCCACATGAATTCTGTGGGGGGGGGGGGGAATCTGTGAACAAGGCTTTTCTTGTGGACCCCCTCCCTCCCTGCGTGCGGCGAAAGCGTCTCTCGCCCAGCCCGCAGCTCCTGGCTATAGGAGCGCCGGAGCTTTTCGAGGCGGCAGTCGTTGGTGTCCAGCTGCAGACACTGCTTCGTGAGGTCCTGCGAAGAGTGCTGGGCTTGAGGTCTTGCACTGAACTAGGTCCACCAGTAGAGAGATTAGAATAAGGGTACCCGATTTTGTTTCTGTAGGCTATTTTAGTAGGGGAACGCTCCCCAAAAAAAAAGGTAAAAGGGCACTACTGGGAGACGAAGTGAAGCAACAATCAAGTATAGCCAGTATAGCATTGCTTTGCTCTTCGTGTGTATGTCACCAGAGTCTTTTCCGATCAAGGTGAAAGAGCTGGTCGACAATTTTAAGGTGTTCACAGCAAGCCGTGTCCAGAGACCCCAAACTCGACACAGACGCCAAATCATCTGCGACAAGGGGTTACGCAAATACCCAGCTTTGTGGGTTGCCGCGAAAAGGGAACAACCTCCCATGGTAGGCAGATGGTTACTTAGAGGATCCAGTGGACAAAGAACATAGCCTGTAGGGTTTGTTGAGTCGCCTGGGGGTGTTGATTGCCCTAGGGAACCAATTCCAAGGCTTCGGCTTACCTTCGTGGAAATCGACTTATGGAACCTGCGAAGAAAACCAGTTGCAACCATTGACCCAAGACCAATTCAATTTGAGTTGGAGCACCAAACTCAAAAGGGAGAAGGGGCCTGAGCAAACCAAGCACAGGGGCCCCACCTTCCATGATTTCTGATGAATCTATGGGAGGACCCCCTTTCATTGGGGGTATGCCCTTCCCATGTTTTCTTCTTTTTTTGTTTCTGACTCACAACAAGGTAGTGGATGTGCTCATTGGCTTTTTCAAATGTGTACTCCCCGGTTACCTCGAGTCTCCACGGGTGAAACCTCAAAAGGGTCCATTCAAATGGAACATCTGCCCTCGGCTTCCGAGCGTGCGAATGCTGCCGAAGGGCAGACAGCTTGCACACAAAGTCCCGCCAGTAAGTTTTTGTCCTGAGCTCACGAAATCGCGCTCCCGGAAAAGCTCATGTTCTCCGGTTCGATCTCCGAAGGTCAAGGAGACTGATTGAAGTGAGTGCGACATCGAGTGGCATTGGTTTTGGTCAACCCCGCTTGCTGCAGAACAAACAAAAAGGCATGCAAGCAGCATAGGGTCGGGCACAAGAAACAACCACAAGCACAACAATAAGAAACATTCAACGTTGGGTCCAAAGCTTCTTACGCCCTGAAATTCAAGCCAGGGCACTTCATGTCCTCGATGTCCACCATCACATTGAGGTCAAAGCAGCTCACCTTGATTTCGGGGCACTCTGCAAAACATATTTTGTTTATTCGAACGAGCAAAACATCGGAGACCTGAGAGGTTCATCCAGTCCAAGGTACAGGCCAAGACATTACTCACTGGCCCTCTGCAACTGAACATTTAGCAGCATGCCCAAAACCCGTGATAGGGGGCCTCCAGCGGCCTGCAAAAGCGGGCTGCAAAAGCACCTCTGTTGCAAACCCTCCCCACTCCCTGTTCAGGGGGTCCATCCTTACCAACCTCAAGTCAAAGGCATGCCGAACTATGGCTCGGTACCCTTTGCAAGTTGGCTGAAAGGGACACCAAAGGGAAACCCCTAGTTACAATCAGGGACATGGGGGTTCTTTCTGTATTTTGTGTCAAAATGTGCGGACACCAGAAGTGTTGTCTTCCTTTGGTTTGCCTGCAAATAGCAAACCACTGTGAAAAGGATAGACCATTCCACACCTCCCGATGTTTGGAAGCTCTAAGGCCCGTTTAGACAGCGTCCTCCGGATTCTTGGCCCAACTCTGAGTCCGACCTGAAGCAAAATCATATCTTCGGAGGCGACCCCAGCGGGGTCAAAATCTTGCGACCCGTAAGGGGCGCTCTTGAGGGCTACAAAAGGGGAGCTTCTCAAGATAGGGGACCTGTTTTGGCCGGCACCGAGCATTGTCCCTTTGAGAAACACTCCAATGGTCTGGGACGTTTCACACGCAAAACGCAAAAAATCGGCTGGGTGAAACGCACCCAGCTCTGCTGCTTCAATTGCAGTGAGGCCGCCGACAACCAAAAAACAAGCGATCCCAGGGTCACCCCACAAAAGCACGCCCTTTTGTTGGTTCATTTGCGGTCAACCTACTTGGCTGTTTCAACACATGCACCC